ACCTTGCACTTGGCCCTGTTGAATTTCATGAGATTTGTTTGAGAAAGCCCACCTCTCCAGGCTGTCAGTGTCTCTCTGGATGACCAGTTGGGCACCCCCACTCCCTCTTTTTCCCATGAAGAGCTGAGATGAGCTCCAGTTGAAAAGACATCCCCTGGCTCCTGAAAGCAGGGAGAGGGCTGCTGTGAAGGGGGGCGCACTGCAGTGGAACAGCGTGACTGTGGCTGATGCAGTAGCGCCTCCTGGTGTCTGGCCAAAGAAGAGGGAGATTTAATGGGAGATAAGCAGTAAACTTGACGCGTGTTTAAGCACATTTGTTTATAGAGAAAGAAGTTAAGGAAAGCGTATTGGCTTTGATCTCATCAGTGCATGTGTTTATTATTAAGTTTTGCATAAGTATGTCTTATAAAACAAAGATCAACTTCCTGTGAAGCCTGCTTATCTTGTCCTGTCATCTGTTTTCTATATTCACTGAGCTTCTTTCCTGTAATAAATCTACTAATTCCCCTTTCTGTCATCACATTCTCTTAAACTTCCAGATTTTTCAAATCTAAAAAACTGAATTCAAGTTATGGAAAGTCAACAGGGGAAAAAGATGCCTTTGCAGCAGTGTGATGGGTCAATTTAACAATGTTGGTTTGTGTGGAAGAACAGGAGATTAGAACAAGAGGTTAACTACACATAGGTGTTTACTCCTGCAAATAAATACAGATTATCAGTAGTGTGTAGAGTACCTACCAGAAGCTGTTTTACACATTCTTATGCATAACACAGTCGTGCAAATTGAATGTGTTACTGCTTATTTGGTAATAATACTGGTACGCTGGGGTGTTGGCAGGGAATGTTTTAAGAGCTAGGCACTGTGGCTGACCAGTTGTCAGGGCTAATCTGCTGAGTCCATGGTTGCCCGTCCCACTCCCTCCCAATTATGTGGTTAAAAAGACCCAGATCTCAGGAAAAAATTCATTGTGCAAGCATACTGTTTATGTGCTGGGCATGAATATCTACTGGAAGAAATATCAAATTAATTTTCTGTTCATGGAAATGCTTAATCAGAAACATCCCTCATAACTAGAAAAATGCTCTTTCCTGACCTGATGATGGCCTTTGCAGCACAGGTGTTCTGTAAATCTTGAAATCAGATGTGCAGCCTCACAACCTGGCTAAGGGGCATGTCTGAGGAGGGTGTGTGTAGACATATATATATGTTTAAATATATTTAACTGTTTAAGAGAAATCTTTTCTTGTGGACTAAACAAAAAAGCTGTATAGGCTTCCTGTGTTACCCTGAGGACTGAATGTTGGCATTTTTAGCCATAAGAACTCATTCAATGTGACCTTTCACATTTAAAGATTTTCGTGCTGCTTACAAATCATACCCTCTAGAGGGCAGTTTGTACTGCCAGTGGAAATAACTGACACACAACAATGGCCACTGAGGTGAAATTATTTCTGGATTTATTTGGTTAAAGATGTGAACACGTTCATCTTTTTCATGAGTGAGGGAAAACCCAGAAAACTGTGATGAAGTTTATGTGGAATACTGGTATATAGGGACTAGCCCAGACTAGCAAACATGGAAAGCAACCTTGTGTTTGATAAGTGTCTCAGGGTCAGTGGCTGAAGAAGGAACAAAATACGGGTGAGTGCTGTTTTACAGGTAAAATTGCATGCTTCTGACTGCCTTGCAGAGGTACAACAAAGTATGATAATTCATCTAGAGGCACAGAATAAAATTCAGCATGACACGTGCAGCATCAAGGTACAAAAGAAATAAGCCAAGTAGTTTAGCTGTTTGATGAGGGCGAGATGATTGGGCGGGGAGAGGAATTCACCACATCACAGTATTTGCTGTTACTATCAGGAACTATGCAAGCAATTCCATAACTGAGGTAGACCTCACCTTACAGCAAATGTTATTCCTGGTGGATATACGCTATTGGATGTAGGCAATGCCGCCTCTTTCTCTCAAGTTTGTTTCTGCCGTCTGTTGTTCTACATTTGTATGTATCATCTGGTCTTGTGAGAAAGGGGTAATGTCAGCCATCAAGCTTCCCATTGCAATTGGAATCCATGTTCCACATTCTCAGTTGGTAGCAAAACTGGTGGAAACATTTGTAACACGACATTTGTCCAGTTGAGCACATTTGACAGCTGGAGAACAGTGACCTCTTTTGCAGTTTGGGTATGTACATAAGTCCAGTAATAGAGTCCTTAGTATTTGTAAGTTCACGTAGCCCCACTGAAACTGGTGGGCTGATGGAATTTTATGTGTACAGAAAACCCATCTCACCAATTCTGACTTCTAATTTTGTTCCCCTACCCTGACTCTGACAAAAGAAAGACAAGATCACAAATAGTGCGTGTTTATAGTTTCCTGTTTGTCCTACTTTTTTCCAGATTGTGACATTGATCTTTCTATAGCAATTGATATTTCAAGGCGCATGCGGCCACCATCCACAGTGCTTCTGAAACAGAAATTGCAAGCATTCCTCCCCAGGCTTTTACTCCAGGTGAAGTCACTGCCAAATACCAGCTGTAATGCTGGCTCTCCGGTCAACGTTAGATTCAAGTTCCAAGTATTGGCACAGACCAAACAACTAATCTTTGACTCTGATTTTGAAGACTATAATGAAGAGATCATCCAGAAGTTCTTAGATTCGCAGGCCACTGTGGACACCTACCTGAATGCAGACTTCTTCCAGGCACTTGAGGGGGAGTTCTCTAATGTGACCTCTGCTAAAGTTAAGGTAACTTAATGGTGCGAATGTGTGTGTTGGAAAAATTATGCGGTTTGATGTTTACAGACTCTTATGCTGAATACTCCAGGGAGACAAAAAGGTAGTTCAGGAATTGTTGAATCCAACAAAATCACAGAATGGTTGAGGTTGGAAAGAACCTCTGGGGATCGCCTTGTCCAACCCCCCTGCGCAAGGAGCGTCAACCAGACAGGCTGCCCAGAACCATGTCCAGGTGGCTTTTGAGTATCTCCTAGAATGGAAACTCCACAACCTCTGTAGGACACCTATGCCAGTGCTTAGTCACCCTCACAGGGAAAAAAAGTGTTTCCTTATGTTTATATAGAACCTCCTGTTCTATCATTCACCCTGGTATAACTGCATATATCAGTTCCGATTCCCTAGACACTCCTGCAGTGAGATGGTAGCCAGAACATTTGGGTTAATAGGTATGATCATGAGTATTCCTACAGAAAACCTTATATCAACCAAGTCTTTGCACTTTGAGTCGTGGAAACAGTTCTCTTTCAGAAACTGTAAATGCTGATCCTGAATTTCTGTCCAGAATAATAGCAGGTCTGAGCAGAAGTCACAGAAAACATCATCCAAGAAACTTGTTTACAGAAGTTTGTTTGTGTAGTTAGCTTGTCAGATAATTTCAGTTAACAAAGCTGAGTTCTGCTCATGAATAGCTGACGATTGGGAAAATCTGCATGGATGCTGCAGTTAATTCTTCTGTCCTGAAGTGAGGTGAAAGGAGAAGCATAAGGCTTGATCTGATCTGCTCTGAAGTGAACAGGGAATCTTTCCACTAAGGGGAAAGAAAGTTCAGTCTCATTGGAGCGTCTCAGGGTCATTGCCCTGACAGTTTATCCTTAATAAGGCACTGACTCAGTAAAGCGCTGAGCATGTCCTGTAGCACCTGTTTGAGTATTAGCGCTTTCTAACGACTCCAAGCAGGGGACACCTTCCTACTGAGGAAGGACAGGTTAGCCCTTGCAAAATACATAGGGGGTTTCCTCTATGAACTTCATTTTAACTTTCATGAGATGTTCATTTTAATCTGATGTGGAGTGAGAAAGCCATATTGTTACAAATTCCCCTGCTTTCAGGTGAAAGTTGGCATTCTGTTTTTTACAGCATTTGTGTAGGTATGGCTTGCCAATTTAGCTTGCAATTTGGTGCATATTTAATACTATATTTTTCCAAAGATTTCTTAAGATGTCATTTTATTCTGAACAAGGAACATGACCACATATCATTTTGCTTCTTTTGGGCCTTAGTAGAGAGAACTTGTTTGACATACAAGTAAAAGCAGTGCTTTTTTCCTCCTATTTCCCATTTCTGTTAGATCCCTGTTGAAGACTAGAGTTAAGCAAGGCTTCTTTCTGCTTATGCATTATTACTAGTAATATGCTGCGTATCTCAGTACTTTACCAGTGGATTAATGTTCCTTTCTGATACTGTTTATGTGCAAATTGAAAATACAAGACTTTAGAATGCACATGAAATTACAATTTAATCTCCCTAGGATCCTGAGTGATAACATGCTTGTTCTGTAAAGATTATTAGTTATAAACCTCATCAGGGATAGTAATTCTGTTGTTTGCATTTCTTCTTTTCTTTATTATTTTTTTTTCTTTTTTCAGCAAATGAGTTGGACCTAATTTCCAGCATTTTTGGCAAAGCCAGAGTCAGATGTGTTCCAACAAGAGCTTTATATAAATGAAAGTTTTGTAAACATATATAATGCCCACGCTAACAGGCCACATTCCCTGCCCACTGCCTCCCCCTTCCTGCCCCCCCATTTTCTTAAAGCGAAAAGATCATTGAAACAAGCATCAAGCCCATGCCTACAGTGTTGTTTCAAACAGTCTGTGATGTGTTTACCCATCCGTGGTCCAGCTCTCTCTGAGCAAATGTAGAATCGGTACCAGTGCCTCCATATTGTATGCTTCGGAACTTCCCACCACCAAAAGCAGTTAACTCTGCACGCTCTTAAATTCTGGTCTCCTTGCTGCTTTAGCACAGAAGTGGGATGTTTGGTGTTGGTGTCACTTCATTTGCTTATGTCACCTGTGGGAAAATTTGCCTTAACAGAAGTAAAAGTGTTCACATTGATTGAAGATGTCTATTGTATAGGGAATGTGAAATAAGATGAATGGGAGGGAAGGAGCTCTAGCTGTCCTCGTCTACTCATTGATCAGAGGTTGTAGGGGAACTTTAAGTCATTATTGTTGCGAGCAGGCAACAGTTCACCTGTGCAGCCTCTTTCTGGGAAACCTAATGGATGAGTGGGGCCTGAGAAGACTTCTGGTGGTTTGAAGGGGGAAGGTGAGGAGAGAAATGGGAAGAGACTGGTAGCTTGGAGGAGAACTGCAAGGAATTGTGCTTTCCTCGGCACAGAGAGGTTTTTGGCCTGAAAAGGAGGGAATGTAGCTGATACAAAGGGTCAGGATTAGTGTCCTTATGTCTTAGCAAGGAAATGTATGGCAGAGTGGAGCAGGGTGATGCACTGCCTATGTGGAAGGGGCAAGGAGACATAAGCATCTGCAGGGAAGGGAGGATTGGACCCAAGGAGGATGCACTTCCTGGTGTGGCTCAGTTGACAGCCAACTGGAGCACTCTTGCAGAAAGGGAATTTTTTGTTTGCTCCGAGTTCTTTTCCACATTCACATATAGGAGAACTCTTCTGATGTCAGAGAAAGCTCTTCAGTGGATAAGTCACAGCAGAATTGGCCTTCCACCTAGCATACTAAGAAGATGAGAGATGTAATTAATAGCAATGCTATGAACTGGTCAGCAAGACAAATCCCTCAGATGGGAGTGCTGTCAGGGAAGAGAGGCTTTTGCGTTCTGTTCTCCTTGCTCCTCGGAACTTTTTCCAGCACATCCTTCCGATCTACCAGAGTGTATTGCAATTTGGCCACTTTTCAATGCAAACTGTACCTTTTACAATGACTCAACTTTTAGTCTCTTGTTAATTGACTTGGCATTACTCCCTTTCCTGACAGGTTCTGTTAGTATTTTCAGATGGGCTGGATGATTCGCTGGAACATCTCAGAAGAGCAGCTGAATCGCTTCGCTTGAAAGGTATTACAGTGTCACATTGATGCTCCAGCCTCCTACTACCAATGGCCCAATGGACTGCTCTGCCACTGCAACTTTTTCATTTAACCTTACCTCTCCGCATGTATATGACATTCCTCAGGAGTCTCTGGGAGAGTGTTTGCTTCTCCATGTGAATCGGTGTACAGGATGGCTTGTCACTGCTTGGCAGATGGCACCAGAAACACGCCTAGGGCTGCAGAAGGCCTAGGATGGTTTGGTTTCTGAAGTCCAGCTCCAGCAGCTGCAGCAATTCAGGGCAGCCCCTCTCACTGATGAGTGCAGCACCAGAGGTTAGACCCAACTCTGACTTCTGCAGGAGAAAACAGTTTTACATGTCTGTTTGGGCATTGAGTAGCAGTCTAGATTGACAACTGGGTACAGAAATAATTTGGAGAATTACAGGTCCGGATTTTTCTCTTATATGTTGTTCTCAATAGCTTGATTTCTTTTAAGATACTGTGTTGAAGCCATGAAATGTAAGTCTCTTAGAGAACTGCTGTTATTCACAATGATATTGTTGATTAAATAATATAGTTCAGGCATTCACGAATTTAAATATACCCTTATGTTGAAGGTCTTGATGCACTTCTATTAATTGGCCTGGACAATACACAGAACTTGACCGAACTTCAGGAAATAGAGTTTGGCAGAGGGTTTGGATACAACGAACCTCTGAGTGTTGGGTTTGCAGAGATTGCAAGCATCTTGCAGAGAAATCTTGTAAGTCCTCCTGTGATATAAACAAAAGGAAGAAAATCAGACTTTGTTTTATGATTAACATACATAAATGAAATGTTTCTTGCCATTTTTCCAGGATACTGTTGCAGAAAGGAAATGCTGTAAGGTGGTTTGTAAATGCCTTGGAGAAAATGGTGATCGTGGTGGCCAGGGAAGTCCTGGAAGGAAGGTAAAGGAGTCTGGTTAACCAAGAGGCTTATTAGCTATTGGGAATGAGAAACTTTCAGCTAACAAGGTGAGAGTAGAAAATCCTTCTTCACTAGGTGTGAGCCTTATCATTTTGTGCCTATGGTTATTCAAAATATCCTCTTCTGTAAGTTTCTTCTCATCCAATACAGTACTAATTTACATTATTTCCCTTAAGATTGTATATTGTCTGTTTTAAGCCTTTCGAGTATTACAGATATCACCACTTCTACAGCATGCCAGTAGACTTCATTACTAAGGTTTTTAGTACACGTAGTCTCCATCTGACTACTATTCTTTCCATTATTTCTACTTACTCCGGTAACATGCTAGGTAAAGTATATCTTTTGTTCACCCTCTTCAGTTATGTCATTGCAGTTAAATGGACTTTTGGTTATCTCTTAGCAGAGGTACAGTTTTTAACACTTAGTCATTTATATGTTCAATTTACTGATTTCTTCTATTACTCTTGTTGATTTTCTACAACCTCCTGTTTTACTTAAAATGTCTAGTTTAACATGCTTAGACAAAACAGGGTTTGGAATGTTGACATAGTTTTTTGCAGCAGGCATACATGATGCCTGGGTTGTCCAGTCTTCAGTTGTAAAAGCCTGTTTTTGCAGCACAAATTCATGTCTTATTTTTGCTCGTTTTTATTCCTAGAATTTCCGTTTGGTTTAGTTTCTCTCTGTTCAAGTTTCTGCCCTGATGCTATGAGGTTTGCATCACTTCAAATATAAAGTTGCAATATTCCTAAAAGTGTTTGTAAGGTGTTGCCATATCTTGCCTAACAAGTTTTCAACTCCTTATATTTTTTATTTCACCTTCACTCATTACTGTATGCTTCCTTTTCCAAATCACTAAGGAAGATTTTTAATTTGACCAAATATCCCAATGAGCTTTGCTAACCCATCAGGCAATTTCCTGAAATAACATACTGAAATTCTATATTGAACATTGTTGGGTTTTTTGGTTTGGTTTGGTTTTGGGGTTTTTCTCCACAGCGGTGTCAAGTACATTGGACTGTGCGGAGTGTCTGTGTAAGTATAGTTGATGGAGCGTGCCCTCCTCAGCATAACCCGATCTGATTTTTGGGAAATGTTTTTTATCTCCATGTGCAGAGCAATCTGATAGAAATGAACAAGGTGTGTTTGGAGAAGTGTTACTTATGTCTTAAATACCTGTTTTTCAGGGAAGTATGGGTTACAGAGGATCTCCTGGCCATCCTGGTGAGGAAGGTGGGACTGTAAGTAAACATTATTTCTTCCTCCTAAAATGATGTTAGTTGGTGCTTGAACCTGTCTGCACTTACTCATTCACTCAGTGTGCATCAGTGTTAACCTAAAATGTGTTTAAGTAACATGTATCTGAAGGCAAACATCTAGACTTGGTCATCTGCACCTCACCATAGTACAGAAGATCCTACAAGGAAAGGAGGTTGAGGACATAATGCCGGACAGCTTTGGTTTATCGTGGTGTAGTACTGAGCTCAGGAATTAGTCTTAATGTTTCACATAGGCAGTGGAGCCAGGCCAAAATGCTTAAATTTCTGTTTTGTAATATTGTGGTGTGGTTCTGTGGCACTAGAGTCTAAATCTAGAATGTGATCCATGTAGCTTTTTTGCTCGTTTAGAGGAAGACCTTTCTTTAAAGAGGAGAAAAGAGAAGGGTCTTTGTTCTTCTGATCTTCAGCTTTTCAAGTTTGTCTTTTCTTTTGCATGGTTATACAGGAGCTCATGTTTACTGCGTGTTTCTTCTCATTTTGTTTGTTGTTGTTTACCTTTTTAGACAGCAGTTTTAAGGGGATCTGCTGGGAGATGCTGCTCTCTTTCCAATTTTTTCTTAGAACTTCCATCCTAACAAACCTGAAATAGGAGTCTTCAGAGATTGGTGACTGGAGGAAAGGCACTCAATATTCAGTTAAAAAATCAGCTCGCTGAAAGGCCTACCTTCAAGTACAGGATTTCAGTCAGAGATTGGTAGTGCAGTCTAAAACATGGCATGATAGTGAGAGCAGAGAACCAGGGTGCAACTCAAACTAGTAATTGGCTGTTCTTTTATGGCCAGTATATATATTTCCAGGTGAATTCCATTTGTGTCTTTAGCGCAGTGAAGGGTGATATAATTCTGTCTTGCTTTAATTTTGTCTGATGACTTAACCCGTAACCAACATTGTATGGATGAGTTTGAACATTCTCTTTTGTTCTGCAGGGGGAGAGAGGCCTAGCTGGTTTCAATGGGACTCAAGGAGACAGGGGATGTCCAGGTGCCAGAGGCCATAAGGCAAGTATGTCACTTTGAAGCGTTTCTTAATTTTGTTTCCCACAAACCTGTTTTCTGTGCTGAGGACAAATCTCTATACTGTCTTCTTGAAGCATGGATTGACAGTAAGACCCAAGTCTAAGAACAGCAGACAATTTTTTTCTGTCTCATTTTGAGCAATACTTTGTGTAATCAAAGTATGGTCAAATGGCTAAGGAGTTGGCTGACTCATCAACTTGCCTGTGACTTTTCCACACCAACTCCAGACTGGCCTTAGGTGAAACTATAAAGCTTTACAGTGCGGGAATGGAAAAGAAGGCTGTACTATCTTCCCACAGGAAAGGGATCAATCCCATATCTGGCAGTAGGGTTTTACAGTAGAGACTATGAATAGAGCCCAGCATGCCTCTGCACACCAAGTTATTGTGCCCTGCTTCTCAAGCCCAATAAAAACACTTTCACCACATTTCATCTACGTTTATTTTCAATTTCAGGGGGCCAGAGGCTATAGAGGAAGTCAGGTATGTGTTTACACGTGTGATCTATTTTCTTTGAGAATAGTGTTCTGCTTCTTTTCAAGTTCATGTTACCTTGTAAGATGAAAATACCAACAAGGAAGGAGAACGGGGTAAAAACGTCAAAGTATTTAATGTACTTTTGCAGTGGTTGTATAAGAATGGATTTAAGAGTGGTCTGCTAGGTATCACATTATTAAAAACCAGTAGTCCTAATTGTATTGCATTTTTAGCATGGTTGCAGTCATAATTGATTTAGTCTAACTGACAGGCAAGGAATTTATTTACTGGATATTTTAATAATCTGCCAAGGTGGTAATTCAGGTCAGCTGAATCTTTTATTGTATTTGTTGAGGAAACAGAGCATAACAGGGGAAAAAAGATGGTGACTAATACTTATTGTGCAGTTGGACAGCATTTTGATTGAATAATTATTGACATTTTTTCAATATCCAGACTTCTTTTCAGCTGGATTTGTCATCTACTGATCTTGTAACTCTGCTTATTTAACCTTTTACCTATTCGTAAAAGTGATGCTTTCATCAATTCGTTAATAAAATGTGAAGCCTGGGAAACAATGAGCTATGATGGGAATTTAGTTTTCAGACTAGAGCAATTAAAATGGAATTCAAATTGTATTGAGTGCTTTGATACAAAACCAATCCTCGAAAATATTTAGGAGCCTCAAAGTCTCATAACTTGCTTCCAAACCTGAGCAGCTGTGCATGTGAGAAACTTCAGAGTGTTTCTAATACTCTCTTTAAAGTACTGCTCTGTACAGACTTTTTTAATTCTCCAATGTGCTTTTCCCTTTGCCATTTTCTCCTCTGTTCCCTGAAGTAATTTGTCCTCCTTTAAATCTGAAACATCTAATTATAGAAGAGGGAGAGTGCTTGCTGATGATTTTGATTTGTCCAAGTTGAATTGTACAGTAGGACTTATCAGGAGCACAAACTCCACTGAAATCCAATAAATATGTGAATGTCTTCATCATATTTTGTCATTATATCCAGTAATTTAATTTTAACTTAAAATATGAAACTTTCAGCATATAAAAAAAGCAATTTAGTACTGCTAACTTAGTAAGATTGCAGCAGTTTATTGACATCTGCAAGCATTGTGGTACAGGTATTTGGAGAAAAAAAAGGCAATACTGGTTATTTAATACTATGGCGTTTGGCTTTGGTTTTCTGAGGTGTGAAATGAGTGAAGGAAATATTAAGACTTAAATAAAAGTTATGATTTCTTACTTAGTGCTCAACATTTTTCTGGAATGCTTCTTCAAGAAATTATTGTCTGGGACATATTAATCTTACCAAAACGTACAGCGAGCTAATTTTTCTTGTAGTGCATACAAAACTGATATAAATGAATGAAGATTTACCTCAGGAACATTAACTAGGTGGTTTTACAAAGCCAGTTTAGCATCAAAACCTACAAAGCAATGGCATCTCTCTGTAGTCTCTATCAGAGTGAGACTCATCTTTGTTTAACTGGCATTTACAGTATGCTTTTGTGCCACTTTCAGTGATTTGTTGAATATCCTTTCAGCTTTCAGGGTAGTGGTCTTTGATAAGTTCATTTCTTACTACAATTAAAACCAATACAGTTAATTCCTTCATTTTTATCCTATTAAAGAAACACAGAAGAAAAATTTCAAAATATCCTTTAAAAATTGAGTATGTTATTTGGCCAGGTCTAAAACATTGAGGAGCATACATAAATGCAATAAGGTTCTCAGTTATAACTATTCAGAAGCCTCACTCTTCACCTGAACAAGTTAACAGCCCAAACTCCCTAAGGATAGGATTGGTGTTCTGTGAGAAAATGGCATCCGTAAATGGTTGCAATATGGTGATTTGGTTTTGCAGGCAAAGGGAAGAGCAGAGCAGTGTGTGTTGGAATGGGATTGTGACTGCTGTTTACGTAGCAAGCATCACATTGCTGCAGGAGTAATTAAGTTTCTTTAGCAAATCCTAAAGCCTGAGATCAGTCTTCTGTAATTATTGTGGTTATTCTTTCTAGCTTTTCAATACACCATTCACAGTGTAGAATTATTAAAAAAAAACACATTACAAACACATCTGACACCAGAATTACATGTTAGATCAGATACTGATAGTTATGCTTTGGAATATATCAAGATTTTGAAGGTGCTGCAGCTGGGAAAAAGATTTCAAAACAGGTGGAAGAACAGAATGCAGATCTTATGCAGATCTATTGTTTTAATAATCATTGTTCTTATTAAGTGTTCTTAACTATAAATTGCTTTAAAAGTTAATAATTCATTAACAATTTGAATTATTAATTCCTCTTTATAATTATTATTCTTAATTATTCTGGCTAGCCATTGAAAGCCACTATTCTTATTCAGGTTTCCAAAAGTAAGGTGATCACTTCTTTGCTCAGAGAGACAAGTGGAGTGATATTAATAGGGTTGTTTTTGCTTACTGCTACAGGGTGAATTTGGTGAGAGTGGATTTGATGGCACTGATGGAGAGCAGGTAATCATTGCTTTAACTGGGCAGTGCAATTAAAGACACCTACCTCAGGGTTTAAAAGTACAGATTCTTCTGTCTTTGAATGGTCTTTAAACCTGAACAGAAGTTCTGTGGTTCAGTGTGTAGAATTGCATATCTGATTGAAGTTGGATTCTGCCAGACAAAGTTTAGGAACTACATTTATCAAAGAACAGCTGTTATTTTTTTTTCTTCTTTCTAACCCCTCTATGGGTCTAGGGAGAACGTGGATTTCCTGGACCTTCTGGAGAGAAAGGCAACACGGGAAAACAGGTGAAGTAGCATTTAATAGTAACGTTTAGATTTTATGGGAACATCTTTCCAAAGTGTAATGCCATCTGTAATGCCTGTGAGGATTTTTTTAATAGCTGCCTGTTCTCATATGAAGTGGCTCCTGCTGTAAATCAGTGTAGCTCCATTGACTCCAACAGATCTGTGTTCTCTTACCTGGCCTTCCTCTAGGACAGACACTATTTCTACCTGTACCTGAATTGCTTGTGTTCTTTTTATGAATTTAGGGCAGAAAAGGCCCCAGAGGAGAAAAAGGTGAACGAGGAGAATCTGGTCTAAGAGGAGATCATGTAAGTATATTCCTTTGTTTTTGTTAGATTGCACTGATTTGTGCCTGGATTTTGTGATGGAGCTGCCTGAAATATATGCTATTTGAAGAGTTTCTCCCAATCCTACATGGTGCAGTATTCTGTAAGAAGTGTGGCTTATTCCAGAACTCCTGAACTTCTTAGATGCAGATGGACTGATGCATTTTGATATGTGGCTTGGAAGCAGGTGTTTAAGCCTTAGGTATCCTCCTTTTCTTGCATTTTTGTTTTGTTTTATTTTTTTTTTTTACCATGGGCAACGTAACTGCTCTTGGAGCTACTTAGTCATCCTCCCTGGTGCTCCCCACCCCACGGAGGAAATTCTGGAGCAATTGAAAACCCTGCGCACTGACTTTTGGTTACCAATGTGTAACGATGCAAAGGCAGGTTACTACATCATGCTGACATTTTTTTTCTTGCATACTCCACAGCCCTACATAAATGCAGTCCCTGAGGAGTGATATTTCCATGGAGACACCACACTTCTTGTGTCACAACTTTAAGTCTTTTCAAACATATTTCAAAGACCCTTGTTCCAAACAGTCCAATATTGTGTTGACTCCTATCTTCTAATGCTTATAAAAAAAATAAAATCAGGTGTCATGGTAACTCTTCTCTTCGAGATCATGACTTCACCTGCATCTAGCAATAAGTGGCTAAATGGAACTCCATTCCAGTGTAACCCCATCTGAAACTCACTAACTGGTTATGATCTTAGCTCAGTTAACTGTACCCAAAAAAACAGTTTCACATTTTCAGGGTTTAATTTGTTGCCCATTAGTGATATTATTTTCATCTCTTTGCAAAATAACTTGTGGACTTTGCAGACCTGCCTATATGGTGTTCTTGCAAGCATCTTAATTTAAAATAGCCTTTGTATTTCTTGTTGGTTGCAGTGACCAGTCTCATTAATCCTATTTCCATATCCTGCCTCTGTAATCAGAGTAATAAAGATGTAGTCACTGAAAATGCTGAGCTTTCTGCTTAACTTTTCCAGGGAGATCCTGGGACTAGCAATAATGTTCCTGGTCCTAAGGGTGAAAAGGGAAACTCAGCATGGCAGGTAAGTAAGTAGCTCTATATTATGGGGAGAGGACTGGGATAATGGCTAAGTTCTGTTGGCTAAGCAGTGTTCAGTATCTAAGCAGCCCTTTTGTGTTTGTCTTTAATGTATATCTGCCACACAGAAAGCTTTGAGAACTGCTTGATACTCTAAAAGAGAAAAAAAGTTAAAAAGGCTAACAAAGACTATGGAAATATTCTTATAATCTAGAGCTAAGGGAAGATATGGATGTAAGACAAATATATTATTCTACTACAAATTTACATCACCAACCTGAGGGAATTCTAGTAATGGATTGTAAGGATACTGTTAAAAACCATGGTGGGAAAAAATGCGTTGGGTATCAATAGGCTGTACTCAATTTACTTTGTAACTGCTGTTTCCTCAGGGTGGTGGATAAACTCCATTTTGACCTGTATCTAGAATGTAAGAGCTGGGTTATGTGCTTATATAATGTCTGAATTTTTACAGGGTGTTTGGGCAATACTGCAAGACAACAAACATAAAAGCACAGTCTGCATTACCGCTGCACTTTGTTTGGAAAAAATAAGCTAAGATGATAAGTAGTTGGACAGAAGGATATAAGTTGTGGTAGATGAAAGCCTAAGAGGGTGAGAAGTAGCAACATGTGAGGAAAAATGCACTATTTCAGAAGTTTGATTCTATCTGAGCAAGTCGGGCTGTGTGCATATGTCTATGTATAGTCTGCTGAAAGCAGTAGAAAAACTTTGAGGGTCACTCCTCAGAGATTGATTGTGTTTGATAACTGTTTGAAAAAAACCCTCATCAAACTCTTATCTTAAGAAGTCCAGCTGAAAGGCTGAAGTCAACAAAAATGATTTCACGAAAGCCTTGACCGAGTATCAGCTGTTAGTTACTGGTGGATTGGAAATCCGAAGCAGGCACGATCTCTCTGGTTTATAATTGTTGATTGTAAATGATTTGCAGAAAGCAAGAATCAGCATTTAGCATGCTACAACAGATTGCAATGAAATCACTTAGGAGAAGAAACAAAGAAGGAACACATGAAGTAGAAGTGTAAGTGCAAGAAAAAGTATTTGAAGGGCTTGTTCGTTGCTTTGTTTTGCAGGGAGACCCAGGACCACGTGGACCCCAAGGAGAACAGGGTCATGCTGGCCCTGATGTAAGAAAAGTAATCAGTACAGGGTGGAAGTAACTGATACAAGATACAATGGGGTTCCTGTTGGGAAAACAAATTTTTCTCTTATTCCTTTTCATCCCACACTTAAAAATACTGCAGTGAGGGGGAACAAAAATCTTCTAAAATTTTCACAGTGAAACATATTTGGCTTCAAATTTAATATCCTGTGTTTCGTGATACGGTTTGTTTTTTTTGATCAGGAATTGCTGTCACATTAATTTCAGGTCTGATTCATGTGAAGTCACAAGCCTTTAACTCAATGCAACCTTTTCTATGAGCTTTAATTGCTTCATCATTTCACCATAGATAAATTTATCCTTTCTTCCTCCCTGTGACTGCAAGTTCTATATGCCTGTTCAAGCCTATATATAAACTCACTGTCAGCCGAGCTGCTCTTTTTAACCCACTGGGGACTGGAATTTATGAAGGCACCCCTTCTAGTCTGTCAGAAGGGTGCCTAATGCCAAAGCCTGGAATGATGATGACTCCTCAGTCAGGCTGCGGAATCATCCTAAAGGTCTCTAGTGCTGTGAGACTCAACAGTAACATTCACTGGTGCTGCTGAGCAGTGTGCTGCGGGAGGTGCTGCAGACCTCTTAGCTCAGGAGAGAAGAGGGCTCATGTTTTCTTTGTTTTAGCCAAGTGACAGCTGACTGAGAAGATATTTTCCGTTATTTTGTTGAGATGCCTTCCCTCTGCACTCCCTAAGAGCCTAAAGCTTTTATTTTTTCATAAAGCTTACTTGTGTAAGAATTTCTGTCCCAAATCTACTCGTTTTACATTTCTACCTTAAACCTTTCTTTGGAAATAATCTCTATAAGTTGTATTGGATTTGATTGTATGTATAATGTATTTTATTCTAAGCTGTTGTTTCACATACTGCTCAGTGTTCTCGCTGTAATCTGTCATGCCACTCCTTCCTAGGGGGCAGCAGGTCGAAGAGGCCCTCCAGGTATAAAGGTGAGTGGCTGACACTGCTGCTGCCTGTCTGTATGCAGCTACATGTCCAGCCTCAGCATTTGTTTCTCTTAAGGGAGAGATTTCCATGTGATCAAAGACACAAATGTTTAAAAATCCAAAGTCAGTAGCCAAGGCAGCCTTTGGATCTCAGGTGGATGTATCAGAGGACATCCTGACTTGAAGGATTTAGAATTGGGAAGGAACTTTCATTGAAATATAAGGACCGTTACTTTTATGACTAAAGCAAATGTGGGAATGTAAATAGATAAGAGACCATTGCTAAAGATGATGGGAATGAGTACTCAAGCTGCATTCCTG